AAAAATTAAATGCCATGCTTAGGAGGGAAGTGTGTGTGTGTGTGTTTTCTTCCACCTGACAATTCATATGAGAAATGGCTACATTCATTGCTATTAGATTAAGGGATCAATGAATATTGAAATCCTTCAATTTCCCAATCATTTTTCTTTTCCCAAAGATTCCCCGTACAGTATAGACAAAAGGCATTTCTTTAAGGGATGGAGAGAAGGTATCTGTGCCTACTGCTGTATGAATGGGACAGGAGAACTTTCTCAGATAGGGACATTTGTGTTGTCCTATAAATGTGGCTTCCTATCTGTCTTCAGATCTGACTGAAGGAGGTGCCTTAGTGGCTCAACTCTTCACCCCTTTCCTATCCACATGCTTTACCTCATGTTTCAGACTTCCCACACAAGAGAAAGTATTTCTTCACTCTTTGAGCCTAGCTTTGGCCATTTGACCTGTTTGGCCAATAAGATGAGGTGCAAGTGACAGGGGTGCCAGTCTGGGCTTAAGCCTCAGAAAGTCATTGTGTTTCTGTTTGTTCTCTTGAGTCTCTACTATGAAAAGAATAGACCTGAGTAGCCTGTTAGTCTCAAGAAAAAGGCAATTCACAGATCATTGTGTTCCCATTTGAACGCAGTATAAGTCAGCTGACTTCCATTCTGTTGCTGATGCTGGAGTCATCCCAGCTGATACTAGAACCACCCAGTGGAACACAACCTGGGTCATTCAACTCCCACACAATGGACAATTTGTGACAATAAATGATGTTTAAATTACCAATATTCTAAATTTTACATACTCAAATGTATCACTCTTTTTTAATGGCTTCTGGGTTTTGTGCCTTTTTTTAGAAATGCTTTTCACATCCAAAGAGTATAAAATGATTTGCCCAAGTCTTTCAGCAAATTTGTTTTCATTTTAAAAATAGTATATTTGATCTATGTTGATTTATTTTAGAAGTCAGTTAGTACTTCACTCTTTTTCTACAAGTGGCTAGTGTATTGTTCTAACCTCTATTAAGTAATCTACCTTTTCTTCACTAGTTAATGAAATTTTTGTAAGTACACTGATCTGGACACATAGGTTTTCTAATCTATGCACTGATTGTCAAAAAACAAAAAAAAAGAAGAAGAAAAGAAAAGGAAAAAAAGAAAATCTGAGGATATCTATAATTTCTAGGCAAGTATTTTTACAGCTTTTTGCACTGATAATTACCATTTTGTCATTTCTAAATGTATAATGAACATAGTGCATATTGCGTTTTAAAAATGAGCAAATGTCAAAATCACTCATATAGTTAGTCTTGTCTCAATTCTTTTCTTCTCCAGAATTGTGCAGGTGCTTCTTAAACACATATTTTTCAACATGATATTTGGAACTATAGTGTAGGTATATATGTAAATGATATGTAAGACTACACATCACTTATTAAATATGATTATTTCTGAGCAATGGAATTAGAGAACAAGATATTTTACTTGTTTCATCATACATGTCTGTCTTTATTGAATTTGGAGGAACAAATATTCGTTTCCTATTAAATATTCAATGAAGATTTTTTTCCCTTTTTAAGGAGATTTTATTTTATTTTTTTAATAATAAATTTATTTTTTATTGGTGTTCTATTTGCCAACATACAGAATAGCACCCAGTGCTCATCCCGTCAAGTGCCCCCCTCAATGAAGATTTAAAGAAATAATTCAACATATGGAAATATTATAATCAAAGACCTTAATAAAGTTGTTGTGTCTCTTAGTGTATTTTTTGCTTGATCCTTTTGAGTTTTCTAGATATTCAATCATTCCATTTGCCAATATTAATCGTTTAGTTTTCTCCTGTTTAATATTTATGCTTTTTACTTTTTCTCTTCATCTAATTGCATGTTCTAGATTTCTAGAACAATGTTAAATGTAGTGGCAGTGGAATTTCTTGTTTTATCTCTAAATTTAATGGAGTACTTTTAATATTTCACCATTGAGGATGACCCTGGCTTATATTCCACCCTTATTTTACTAAAGTTTTTTTATTAAAAAAAACCCTAAGCATCACTCAAATCTACACTGTTACTCTCACATTTCAATCCATGAAAGTTTATTGATGGTAAAAAAGGGACTTGACAGCACATTCATCAGTCTCATGGAATAGCACTTACTGAATTTTTATCTAATTAAACCAGTTATTCCTTAAACTATAAAAGTAACATTTTACTATTATCCACTGATCACAGTGTCTTTAGCATATTAAAATGCTTTCTGATTATTTGTCCTTTTTGCTTACTGGCTAGTTTGATTCATACTTTGCAGCAACTAATTTGTCAGAAAAAAAGAAAAAGTCCTTCTCAGTCTCTGTGAATTCTCTTCTCCTCACTGAGAAACCTTTAGCCAGAGTAGAAAGGAACTGACCCTCATAATTTACAGTTGAGAGGTCCACAAGATTAATTCAAGTATTTCTGCAGAATTTGGCATTGGAGTTTTATTTTTCAAACCTCAGGGGCATCTTATGTTGTTTGTTTCACATTTGTTTTCACCAGTTGCTTTGTGAGTATTAACGTATTCCTCTGACCCACCGAGTTTTATGCATCATACTTTCTTAGCCTTAACAGCTGCCTCACTACAAGCTATACACAAATCTCACAAAAATGCCACGAGCCATTAAGATGTAAAAGTTAGATTAGACTGTAATGTGCATCTAAAATAAAAAAATAAGTAAATAAGCAAAATTAAATTCAGACATTCATCAGAGAAATGAAGCTTTGGAAAATTCTCTCCCCTACCCTATTGTTTCCCCATGTCTGTGGTTACAGTGGTTAAGAGTGCAGCTGGGGAGGTAACTGTGGATGGGGAAGGCAACCGACTTCTTACACGTGGCTGCCCAGATGTGCTGCTCTCTCAGAGATGCAGTGCCTTCCTCTGAGCATCCCGGCCTGGCATCATTCTATCCTGAATGGTTATGAAGAAAGACACTGACTAATGCAATATCATTCGCTAACATGCTGATTCATTCATTCCACGTTATGATTGAGTGCCGCCTGGATCTTAGGTATTGTGTTTAGCAACAGACATAAACCCCAATAAGTCACAATTGTCTCCGCCAGAGTGTAGAAGCCCATAGGGGAGTCTGATTAGGTAGTGACAAATCAACGTGGTGACAGTAGAGGTAAGCACAAGGTGTTATAGGATTCCTCCATAAACCCTGATCACACATGGGAATTTATTATGCTGCATCTGATTAAAATCCTCCCAAGTACTCCCACCACTTGAGGACTAAATCAAAACTTCTGAGACTGGCATGTCAAACGCTTAACAGTTGGTCCCCACCAACTCTGCCAAGTGCCATATCAGCCTCTGCTCAGCAGACTCTCTGCCTGAGGATGGCTTCCACTGAACTACCTGCTGAAGGAACCCGTGCCCTTCATTCTCTCTGTGAGATACACTGACATCTACATTGAGACTTGGCGGCTAGCAGGTTATCCTCTAGAACATTCTGTACTCACCCAGTGAAACTTAAACTCACCCAAGTCAGTCCTGCATGTTCCAGACTTGTTTAGACCAGTTAGACCTGTTATTGTAACCATATTATGAGGCCAATAAAGTACAAGTATGTAAAGAAAGATTGACGTTGATCTATGACAACAACCTTCAATGGTTTGAAAAAACCTGACAAAGTCACGTTGAAAGAATCTTGCTACCACAGCGTTGAAAACACGATGATATGAGATTGAGCCGGAGAATACCTTTAAAAAGTTAGGCACTTACACTTAGATTTTCTTTTTAGTGTCTGAAAGTCCTTATCCATCTTAAAGAAAGCAAAACTAGGGAGAAGAGATGATGTGTTGCAGTGTGCTTTAGCAAAGAAAGACAATGTGAAACCACGGTCAACAGCCCACAACCCAGAGGAGTGGCTTTGGCCTTGTTACAAATGAGTGGGGAAAGAACATATAGGCAGATGTTTTTAACTAAAATAAAATGTTCCAGGCAGATATGTATTATTTTTTATGAAAGTGCCCTATGTCTGACTTTCAGGAACAATCAACACCCTACTGTTCTCAATGGTGGCGGACAAGGAGACATCACCTTTTGTATGTGTAACTCCCCGAATGTCCTGTGTTCTCACAGATCCGTGACTTTGAGCACACTGTTTGCTTTGCCAAGAAATGTCCTCCACACTCCTTTATCTGGCACATTCCTGCTTACTCTGCACTGCTACATCAAAGTGCGATTTCCTTCACATTACCTCTTCTGGTCTTTTATAATTTTTTTCCCCCAGCCAGCAGCAGAAGCTCATTCATATGTTTGGGGACCACCCCACTCTATGAGACACAGCCTCTTACTGTAGGAGATGCGACCGCCAGCTGTGTTCTTCTTTGCTCCCCATCATTTGAGTGCAGGCACCCCAGCTAGGCATAGTTATACCAAACTACAGGCTCCAGCCCCTCCTTTAAACTGGTGGCCAGTGACGTGACACTGCCAGACATAGCTACCAAATCTGCTCTGGGGTTGGTGGTGGCCGTGGAGGAGGCCAATTTCAGTTCCTGGGGGAGCCAGTGGTAGAGATAAGGGGTGGCTGTGGGAACTCCATGTTTGGTTCTCTGACCCTCTCAGATATCTGGGAGGACTCTAGTAGCCTTTATTAAATTCCTTTTCAGCTCTGAACAGCCTAAATTTGTTTCTATTGCTTCAGCTGAGAATCCTGATGACACGTTGCCTCAAAGGCTGTGATATGACACTGTCACCGTTCCTATGTGTCTCTGTCCCCCGGTGACTGTAGGCTGGAAACAATGCATCTCATCTCTGTAACTCCTCTAGCTAGCAAAGGACAAAGTAGTGCAAAGCAGATACTCAACAAATTGCTGTTAATTCATTAATTTGTGAATTCACTACTCAATGGATGAATGCGTTTCCCATGAACATCCAAATATAAAATAACAGCAAATGACACCAGAATGCTCTCAGTGGCTAAGGAGAACTGTGGCCCATTTTGTCCCTATTCCTCACAGAAGACAAGTACAAGCACAGAGAATTCCATAGCATTTAATTAAATATGAGATGATCACACACATTGGATACTTATACACTTAGCAGCTCTGCAAAATGTTTGTAATGCACATGGGAGGTACAGATCAGAGACCCTTCACTGTAGTGAACGATGGAGAGTTTTTAAAATAACCCCAAAGAAAAACCACTGAGCTGACAAATGCCATCTGATCTGTACCATTCCAGTTGTCTTACCACATGTTCTCATCACCTTCCTGGCCAGCTCTGTCTTGTAGCTCTTCCAGAAGTGCTATGAAAACACAAGTATGCACATCTGAAATAGCTTATACTTGGCTTTTCTGAAGCAAGTTTCCATGGAAACCAGAATGACAGGAGAGGCAAAGGCTAGTGGAAAATCAGGCGAATAAGCCAGGGCTCCCTAGATCCAGCCAGGACTGTTTAATCGACCAAATGAGCTGCCTGCTTAACAGTTTTCATTTCATGCTATATAGAACTAGCAGTTTCCATCTCTGACTTATGCATAGTCTCTCACCAGCTTTTCTTTCTTCATGAAATCCAAAAGGAGGTCGGTCAGAACAAACTTGTACTCTGACATTATACGTTGTCCCTGAGTAGAACATCACGCGTTAGCAGCAGTTCCGATTATAAGAGTATAATACATGGACTTTAAATCCCTCCAGTAACAGACAGACATTCACACATGAAATTCAAATGATAATCTGTGCCCAACAATCCCGAAACACGGGATTTTAGAGCTAGAGTCTTCCTCAAGACTTACCCCCTCATTTCTTTGAGAGACTGTCTACTGTTACAGGGAAATAAACTTAATGCCTTCCAGTCCTGACTTCACACTTAAGGCTGAGTAACTTATTTGTCCTCTCTGTGCCCAATTTTTCCATAAATGAAAGCTAACAATGACACACAGTTCATAGGATCTCTGTGGATAAGGTACAGGACCAGGTTGGCATGAGGTTTCCTATGATAACCTCCTCTTTGGGACGCGGTTCCCATTTCTATAAAAGGTAAAGAACACACGTCCAGCTGGTGGAAAGGTCTTCTGCTGCTGACACACCAGGCCGATTCTGCTGTTCCTCTGGGTAGACGTGTATCCCTTTTTTGGCATCTTCCCTGATTGTCTTCAACAGGGCACTTGGAAATGCCTCTATTATAGCACTTTGTGTTACTATGGTCATTTGTTTATGAAGCTGACACCCTCATTAGATTTTCTACTTTATGAGGCCCCCAACTTTATTTGTCTTAGATCCCCTGCACCCAACCCTGCGGTTGGTACGTGGGAGGCTTTCCATAAATACTTGTCAAGGAAAAAAAAAGGGATAATGCTTATGGAAATGCTTTGAAAATCACAAAAGCACGAAGCAAATCTAAAAGAATGTGAGATTATATTCATCACTATTGATTCAGAGAAAAGGATTTGGAAAATACAATGCCCGACAAAGAATAAATGATCTTATTATCATTAGGCCTCTAAGCCAACAGATAAGATCTGTTCTACAAAATCTAAAACCCCCTTCACAGATATCACAAAACAAAACAAACAAGAAAATTAAAAACACTTCGCCCCCCCCCAACAAACTAAAAACAGAACAAAAAGATACAAAATATCAACAACAACAACAACAGCGACAAACTCCTGAACAAAACAAAACCCAACCCTGGACCTATGCCCTTCATGTCTTCCTGTGCCTTGGCTGCTCTGTGTGGTTCTGCATGTACCCAGGGGCGGGGGGTCTGCAGTAGAGGCCTCGGCTGCACTGTCCCCGGTTGCAATTGCTCAGCTATCTTGACTTGGTTCTTGGTTTGAGATAGTCACTAGGAGTTCACCTAGACCAAGAAATACAAGAGGATGCATGTCGAATCTTCCTTATCTTTAAGAACATGGCCATAGTCAGCTCACTCATGTGCGTGTAGGTCTTCTCCCTGAAGCTTGTGGCCACATCCATGGCCATCACACTCAGGACGGTTTGTAGACACATTTGGGTTGGGGCAATCTCTACACACATAGAAAGGTTATTTTGGGCTCATTGCTCAAATGCACCTGAGTCCAGAGCTGACAATAGTCTCTTCTATTATCGATGGATGTAGCTGGGTGGTGGTAGCAAGAGAATCATACTCTTGATAACTAACTAGAAATTCTGGGCTTCTCCTTTTTCAGAAAAACAAAATCAAATGGGATTGGTGAGTTTTTCTTGCCTTCTTCAGTTTTCATAGATGTGGCTGGCCATGGTAGTTTTCACACTGTGTGACCCCTTCTTTCTCTTAGCCTTTTTAGTTTGGTGGTCATATCTCTGTGTGTCTGGGACACTCCTGGCTTATGCTGCTTGTCCTGGAGTATGTATAACTTCCCTTTTCATTTTCAAAAGCTGCCCAGTGTGGACAATAAATTCTATAGTCATCTCATTTTTTTTTGTCATCTCATTTGTTATTAGTGAGGTCTGGCACTTGAGAATGGGACCGTCCCTAGTCAAGATGAAGGCACATGGCTCAGTTGGTGGCATCAGGCGGGTGGGGCACAGTTAGACTCCTGGCCATCAAACAAAGCTGAGTGGGGGCAAAATGGACAAGTTACTTAACACCTCTAAGCGTCAGTTTCATCATCTATTAGTGGAGAGAATAATAATAATAATAACAATTGTGCCAATGCCCCAGGATTACCATGAGGATGCAGAGAGACAAGCTGTAGAGAGCATAGAACACTTGGTGAGTCCTAATAATGGTAGCTATCATCCCTGTTCTACTTCCTTCTGTCTTCCCTTGCCCCCTTCCTGCCTTCTGTTCCCCACTTTCCTCTCCTCCACCCTTTCACTCTTCCTGCTTTTTTTTTCCTTTCTGAAATAATGGAATAATTTGGGTTGTCTGAAGCAGAGTGCTCCTGCCTCAAGCCAGATGCCACTGGGCTGGGGAGGAGTGGTCGAAGCTATGTTTGAGAATCCTATAGATTATATGGAGTGCTTGCATTAATTTCATTTTCTTTGTGCTGCAAAGGAGAGTAGGTAAGGGCCCTGTCATCTTTGTCCGTCATCATGGTTCCAGTCCTGCACTTCTGTCAATTCACTGGTTTTGGTAGAAGCTGGACATGGTGACATATGCTTCTTCCTGACTTGATCCCAGGGAAGTGAGCACAGGCTGTCCCTGGGCAGCTGGGTTCAGTGTCAGGATTCCTGATTGGAAAGGAAATGGAGTGGGCACCGTGCCACTTGTAGTTCCAGGGCCAAGCAGTAGACCCTGGTACACATGGGGCCCATTCTTGCCACCTTCCCTGCAGTCTGCGGACCTGGAAGAGGGGAGTGCAAGGGCCTCGCACATAGTGACATTCCCGGCCAGGCATCCAAAAGGTGGATCTCCTCTGAAAGCTTTTGGGGTGATGACTGCATGCTCAGATGGCCAAGTAGGGCCCTGCAAGCCCCCTCCAAGCCTCTGCTTTTCGGACTCGTCTAGCTGTGGAGAAGTGTCTTGCAGAAAGCTTTCTGCTTCATCTCTAGCTTGAATGCCATCCACCTTATGAATCTGGCAGTCCAGGAAACTTTCAGGATTGAAACTCACATTCAAATTCTGCACCAAAAAAGAGAGAAAGCATTGAGAGTGCTCCAAAGAGACACACCAGCAAAGGTTCACGTTAGGGAAGGATGTAAAGAACTTTCTGACAGGGGTTTATCAGAGAATGTTGGAGAATTACCCACAAGTTCTAGTTGACTCTGCCAGAGTCTGAATGATACTGGCCCTGCTCTCCAGCCCTGGGGAATCCTGGGAGACTTCTGAGGCTTGTATCTCATTTAGTTGCCCCTCTAGGGAGCTCCAGCCAGGATCTCATGAGGGACCCTAGTCATGGGATGCACAAAAGACCAAAACTTGTGGTTCAGCCTTTTCCTATCCTGCACTATCATTGTTGGCTACTGGGATGCCCCCAGCATTGTGATAGAAGCCCCAGAAACACTCACCTTTTTTGGTTTTTTACACAGTTGTTCCAGAGTCTTCTTATGATCAGGAAGACTGGGCCACACCATAGGCTTAATTCTGAAAGAAGAGGACATCGAGAGAGAGGAAATGAATGGTCTTTCCACTCATTCTGGGCCAAAAATCAGAAGAGCACATTTCTAGTCTTGGCTCTACCACAACTAGGGGGGTGACCTTGGACAAGTGATTTGCCTTCCCTGGGCCTCGGATGTCCTATCAATTCACAGAGGGATCACTGTCCATGATCTCTATGAACACCTCTGGGAGAGATCGCCAGAGACGAGGAACAGTGAGGTTTGGCAATGGCTTAGCTATGAAACCAACATTTGCCCTATTCATCTCCTCCTGATAGAGGTGTTGTCAACTTATTCCTTCTCTCTAGTAACAGCAACTCTTCTGCTCTGATTTTGGTGGAAGTGAGGGATATTTTCTAAATCACGTGAGTAAATTGCTTTAAGGTGTCCCTTTTCAAATTGGAATATATCTGTGTTGTGGGCATCTTCCTAGAACATTAATAACTTGATGGTACATGTCAAGAACATCATTTTTAGCATGAAGCAAGCATGGATCTGTCATGGGGTAGAATGCAAAAGTCCCATGAATCCATGTGCTGAAATTCAAGACTTCAAATACATTCTGTATTTTTCCTGGGTACCCCCAGCTGCCCAAACATTCTGGAAGCTTGGTTACTATTCTTTTAGGATAAAAAGTTTGCCCTATATCCATTTACATATTTTCACCCATTAGGAAATTGTGAAAATTCACCAGTGTTTAGGGTGGGGAGGAATATGGGCACTGTAATTCCTGAAATGCCTTATTCTCCTTTGTAGTTTTCACATCAATAAATAGGGTTAGAGCTCCAACTCTCTGAGACCCCCCTGTAACTAGGGTCCTGATTACTGAAAGCTCACCTTTTTTTCCATAATGCAAAGGCCAATATGACCATCAGAGCCACAGAGAAGAAACTCAGGATGCTAATAGTTAGTAAAACAGGATCCATCCGCCCTGGAATGCAAGGACAGAACTTGGTGAGCAATCATGAACCATGCAGTAGAGGAGGCTTTCAGGGTGCTTTGAGTTTGTATAGTGACTTAGGACAATTTTATTATTTCTTCAAAGTTGCTCTCCAGTGAACAGGATGACGTACCAGCCTTATGCACTAGGAATTTTGGCTTCAGTAAGTGGCACTGAATTGGGTGAGTGGGTCTAGAACATCTGTCACTTGAGATACGAAGGTGACCAGGCATCAAAGACAGCAGCAGTCTCTCCCCAACTCCCACTGCCAAGAGAAGGAGGCCCAGTAGGGGACTGGTGAAGCGGAGGCTCCAGGCTGCAGGCTCAGCAATTCCCAGTCTGAGAAAGGGAGGCTGGGATGACAGAATGGTCCCCTCATACCTCAAAGAGAGGGTATAGGTGCCATGTTTTGGTTCCTCGGAGGCCTGCCTGAGCCATGTTCTTTGGTTCTCTGACCATTCTCCTACACCACATGGATATCTTTGTTATTCTGAGAAAGGAACCATGGAAGAGCAGCACTCGCCTGCCCGTCTTCCATCACCAAAGGTGCTCCCTGGAGGGGCTTTACAGAGACCAGCCATCGGGATTCCATTCTTAATTGGTAGAGTGGGGGTAGTAGGTAGGGCTTTTGTTCAGAATTAGTAGCAGTTCCCAAGAGCAGCTGGGTCAGTAGAGTCACTGATGCTACCAGAAGGGTCATTTGATCAATGACCAAGGGCCCTGTTCCACCACTTCCTTGTTCCTCACCAAAGAGGCAAAGATGGCAAGTCATTCTCCAAAGACAGCATAAGGATGCCCTCAGAGGAGTCCTAACTTGTGGGTTCATTTCACTTCTCTGCCTCTGACTCTTACTCACACACTTTGACACGCGAAGCACTCTGCGGTCACTTCCCACCTGTGATCTCTGGAGTTCTAAAGTGGAAGCTTGGACTCCATTCACTCCAGAAGCCTTGGAAATAGTTGGCGTTAGGGATGGACCGGACTTTAATCTCATACATTGCATCAGGTTGTAGCTTTCTCTGTAGGAGTGTCAGCTTTGTACTGGATAAGTTCACACACTAAAGAGCAAGACGTGGCATTACATTTTTAGGATTGAAAAAGAAGTGCTGCCCAGATCCCTCAAATCATTTCAAATTGAATGCCCTTGGTCATATGGGTACTCTCATTAAGAAAGGAGTCATGAAGTGTGAGCTTCTAAATGATGCTACCAGTGGCCAAGGAGGGCAACAGTACCATGGTTCTTTGTTCAGGTGAGCTGGACTCTCCCACTCCAGGAGATTATAAATCACTCCCAGGCTCCCACCTTCCTTTCTACACTTCAGTTTTCTCCTCCCTTTCACCCCTTTCACATTCCAACAGGAAATAAAAGGGAATGGTAAGGTTAGTGAGCAGGAATAATTTCTCTCTAGAAAGATCCCATTCTACATTGCAGATAGCAATATAGAGGCTACAGTACCTTCAAAAATGTGTATTATCCTTAAGGGAAAAAAAGCATCTTTCAGTTTGAGGGGTAAAAAGTTAATATTCCATTGTTATTTACATTTATAACAATGGAATGACTTAGTCAATTATTAGTTTTCATATATTTATTGAATTTATGTATTTATTTTATGAGACATTTCCAAGTTTCTTAATTTTTCTGTTGTTACATTTATCCTTTCCTTAATGATTTATTAGACCTTTTTATAGATGACAGATATTAACCATTTGTCCTTGTATGTGTGGCAATTTAATCCTAATTTCTAATTTGCCTTATGACTTTATTACGTATGCTGACATTTATAAGCCTTTATTTTTATGTAGTCACATGTATCCATCTTTTTTTAATAATAAATTTATTGGGATCCCTGGGTGGCGCACCGGTTTGGCGCCTGCCTTTGGCCCAGGGCGCGATCCTGGAGATCCGGGATCGAATCCCACACCGGGCTCCGGGTGCATGGAGCCTGCTTCTCCCTCTGCCTGTGTCTCTGCCTCATTCTCTCTCTCTCTCTCTCTCTCTCTCTCTCTCTCTCTGTGATGATCATAAATAAAAAATAAAAAAAATTAAAACAAAATAATAAACTTATTTTTTATTGGTGTTCAATTTACCAACATACAGAATAACACCCAGTGCTCATCCCGTCAAGTGCCCCCCTCTGTGCCCGCCACCCATTCACCCCACCCCCCGCCCTCCTCCCCTTCTACCACCCCTAGTTCGTTTCCCAGAGTTAGGAGTCTTTATGTTCTGTCTCCCTTTGTGATATTTCTTTTGTTTTGTTTTTTTTTTTACTGCTTTTATGCTTAGAATATTCTTTTTCTTTCAAGATTATATAGACATTTAAATAGATTTTCTACCTTTTTTAGGGTTTCACTTTTAAATAATTTCCTTAAATTATTTTTTTTATATGGAGCAAGTTAGGCATTTAACTTAGTTTATTTCCACAAGCAGTAAACTGACTGTCCTGATACCATTTTAAAAATCCTTCTCTCCACTATAGTTGCTCTTCCATTGGTGCAATTTTCAGATGAAGACTCAGGAGGGCAGGATCAAACTAACCTAGTTTTTGTGGTGGGTGGGTAGAAAGAGGGAGAGGCTGTTTGGGACAGACATTACCCATAATCTAAGTACTGTAGAGAAGCATGCTCTGAACAGAGAAGGCTAATCCTGGCCTGAGCAAAGAGATCAGTATGGATGAGTAGACACTCTTTTCACCTTGAGAAGAAGTCATCATCTGGTTTTTGCTCATGTGGTACAAAAAAGGACAGAAATTAAGCCAGTAGGCTCAGAGGAACCTGAAAAATCTGGGATACTCTACTTTTCTTCCCATCTTTTCTCCAAGACAGATTTCAGGGACAGCCAGACCATTCCAATGACAGGACTCATGGAGTCTAAATAATACTCCAGATTATGATACAAATGAAGGTTGTTACTTCAAGGATGAAGAACTCAGGTTTTTAGAAAAAAAAAAAAGAACATGAAGAAAAATATTCCATCTACCTCCATACTTTAAGCTGCTTCCACAACTCCCATGAACCAAATTCTCCCTATGACTTGTTCATGGTTTTTGCCTGATTTGCCTGTGAGAGATGTGTACTTTTTGAGACCCCCCCAAAAAAGAGGATTTATTTGGTCTTAATCTATACTGTGAGTTCAACAACCTAATTTAGAGACATTATAAAGACAAAACATAGAGCAAGAAAAAACACGAGAGCTAGAATGGGATGGCCCAGGGAAGACCTAGGTTTTGTGAAACCTGAAACTTTTATACTTTGCCGAGCTTCTCTCAGTAAAGGGTGTATTTTGAACACAGAATTGCTAGGGGCCCTCCCCAGGTAAATGTACCTCTGGAACAATAAAATTTGTGACATTAAGAAGTTTTTATTTTAGAGTTTTATGTAAGTATTTTATAATTTTATGTATTTTATATAAATTTATTAAGTATATTTCTACATACATCTTTATGAATGTTATAATGGATAAAGGTCATTAATCTACATACCATCCAGTCATTTTCATTTTTTTCTTGGCGATAGGCTACCTCATGCACTAATTCTTTCACATACTTCTTTTGTAAGTGAGATGTGTTAAATGTCACCAGAAAGTCATTCGCTCCCTCTCGATAGACGACTCTTATGTCAAAAGGAGCCTCAGGTTTAACTAGAAAGGAAAAAGAAAGGAGGTCAGTCAATAGGGCAGTGAAGAATATAATTATACTTTTTAAATTTCATCTATTCTGAAAAATCAGATTCTTTTTCTGGGTCAGTAACTGGGCAGCAGTTCAGAAAACCATTTCTTCTTCCTGGTTCAAAGCCTGAGTTCACTTTCCAGCCTCTGGCTGTGGGTGTGTGGCCTTGTGAGCAGTGTGGGTGGAAGTGATGTTTACCACCTCCCATCCTGGCTCAGAAACCTTACATATATGACCCTATGCTTATTCCCTTTCCACCACTTGGAGTCACATGTTGAAGACAATGGAACCCCAAGATGAAAGAACTCTGAACGTTGCTTGGAGGAGCACCACCCACAGATTAGAAATAACCATTTTGGCCCTCATGTGAGCAAGAAATAAACTTACGGTGTTTGAGACATTGTATGTTTTAGGGCTTATTTGTTATAGCAGCGAGTGCTAATTCTACACTAAAACACATTCTCTTTGCCTTTTAAATACTAGAGGACTTGCTACTGACTAGGAGTATGTAAACTTTGAACCCTCCAAAGAAATCAGGTTGTAAGGTGGGAGCCTTGTATCTCACCTCAGCTATGCAGAAGTTGAGGGTCTGCATCCTGGCCCTAAGCTCATAGCTTCCAGTGTGACTTCAGTCTAGTACATAATAGTTTTAAATTCTTCTCTTGTCTCTGCCTTCTGCCTGCCTCATGTAAAGTTCTTCTTAAGATCCCATGCACCGAGTATAAAATGCTATTGGAAGGAGATAGGTTTTATTTCAGGCAGAAATCAACCCTGAGAGAGGTACTAAATTCCTTGAAAAGTGTGCATGTCAGGCAGCCTTCCTATCATTGACCAGGGGCTTTCCTGTCTTGGGTTCTTAGCTGCTTTATCACCAAAGCCTGGAATGTTCATTTTCTAAAGATGGAACAGCCACATTTTTGTATGGCTGATCTCAGGCAGAGGTGGGGAGCACATAGACTAAAATCTAATCTAAACCTATTAATGACATTAGTATGTGTTCATCAAATTATTACTCTGTGGACTGAGCTGGATTCTAAGCTATCTGAGTTGGGCTTTAGCCTTGACTTGCCGACCCGGTGAAGTGAATTCATGTGATGGAGTTTGGCTGACTTATTGTAGTCACTTGTTCGTAGCAGTAACCGCCTAAGTTTTTCCTGCATTGCCCCAGAGATCCTGAAAAAGAGGAAGTGTCTCCTTCTTCGCCCTTCGATGTCTGGTAAAAGAGGAAGTTTATCCTTTTCGACTCTTAGATGTACTACAGAAAGGGAAGGTGCCCTGGGGGAGCAAGGGGAAAGGGGGTGGGGTATAGAGAAACAGATCAACAGAGAATACTGTCAACGCTTCACACCTGCCAAGCCAGTTTCTACCCTTCATTCAAGGGAATAATTGAGATTTACACTCTCAATGAAACCTCTGACACTGAATTCCTTGCCTCATCCTCATCTCCCAAGGACTTCCAATAATGGAAGAATTAAGTGAAAAACAGACTGATATTGATTATATACCTACTAAGCACCAAGTGCTTTACTTACACAAGCTTCCACCAATAATCCCTTATTACTACTATACTAATGAGGAAACTGAGTCTTAGGCTAAGTTCAGGCTCCTATAAAATGGTTTGATAGTATTTAATTCTAATTCTGTCTGATTCTGAGGCTAACTCTTCTTTATTTAGCTTTTGTTTCTGTGCTCCATTATGTCATACTGGCTTGTCCAGGTCTGTCTCTGGCCCAAAGGGTGTCTTTGAGCACATTAGAAGAAGTTGCTCATTCCTCAAGCAAAATTTTTATAAGTTAATTTATTCTGGAAACAATCTGAACAATTATACAGATTCACCCCACCAAGACAAATGGGAAGTGAGGAAGCTGCCCCTCTAGCTTTATCAGAGGGCCCACACCTGAAGAAGGGGAAGTGAGGGCCAGATGCTTACAGGGGTCTTGGGCTCAATCAGGGGTTTCCAGTTTAAATTCAATTAAATGATAGTTCTGCCAATGAAATGTCACTTAAGTATCAGAAGAAGGTTCTACCAGCGACATGCCTCTACTATCTCTCATCCTGCTTGCTCATGGGTGCTTTCCAAAGCTCCAAGAGGCTCACAGCACTCAGTTCATGGGGCCCCATGCTACCAGGTGTGAACACAACTGCTTTTCTTCCTTGGCTCCTCAGATGTGGCTTGTTAGGTTTGCTTCTGCTGGGGCATAGAAAATGGGCCTCTGAGAGCAGTAGGTATGATCTGGGGATTCAGATGGACAGAGTGCTACCTGGAGTATTGAGTATTCACTTGCTCACTCTCTAAAATGCCAGGAGTCTGTCAGAGGACTGAGAATTTCTACCCTCTCTACTTGCTCTCAGAGAAGTGAATATATTGAAATTCCAGTGGTAAACCTTTAGATACGGTGCTCTTGTGCAGTGCACCAACTAGCCATCCATCTATGATGGCCGAGTCTACAAATGACAAAACCCAGGTTGTTTGTGTCCCATACTCAGAATTACCTTGTCATCTCCTTCTTAGCACTCACAGAGGTTGTGGCCTATGTTGCTGTGTGTCCAACATGTACAACCCTCTGCACAATGTCTCTTTTTCACTATCTTTGCCTTCTTACAGGATGATTATTCACAGATGGAACTTTTGCTTTTACACTTTATTTTACCAATTTAGTGAAGCAAAGCTGAGATAGACTCAAAGCTTCTCACCGCCTTGTTGTCACTAATGGGTAGCGCTTCCTTATCTCTAATCTTCTTTTTGGGTGCTGAAGAGGGGTTTGAGAGTGGGGAGAGGGAGTGAGCTATAGTATTTAAAACCAGCAAAAGAATGCATCTCTTCAATCCCTTTGGCCAATGTCCCCCCTTTGTATATTGTTTCATCTGTAAATCTCCATAGGTAGAATAAATATGGGTAGTTATTAATCTATTGCCCTGATGCATTGTGATTGGCTTAGATATTCTCCTATAGGAGTCTCTCTGAGGCTTTGAAAAGAACTTTATTCACCCCAGGGTCATAATCTGTAAGAAATGGGAAAAACTTTCTTGTGTCTATATTCTCAATCTTTCTGGTTAACTTTTGATTTACTTGCCTAGTAACCAAATGGTGAATTGGTAATTAATATTAACTTATAACCAGGTAATTGAATGGATTTACTAATTTATATTATTATGTATATGGTTATTATATAGAGCCAAAGGACACAGGTAGATGAGTTTACCAATTAAGATTATAATTTTATTTGAAATATAATTGCTATATCTTTTCTTGGCAGTGTAATATGAATATCCTAGGCCAAATAAGATTGACTATGCTCACTTCTCAATAATAAGTCTCTTAGGAAGAAGTAATTTCATGTGTCAGCTTGGCTAGGCTGTGTGCTCACTTGTTTGGTCAAACACTAGTCTACAGGTATATTTTTTTAAGACTTGATTAACATTTAACTCAGTATACTTTGAGTAAAACAAGATTACTCTCCATAATGTGGTGCTCCTCATGCAATCAGATGAAGGCTTTAAAAGCAAAGACTGAGGGTGCTGTGCTGGCTCAGTCAGAAGATCATGCCACTCTTGATCTTCAGGTTATGAGTTCAAGCCCCAAATTGCATGTAGAGATTACTTAAATAAATAAATGAACTTAAAAAAAAAAGCAAAGACTGAGATCTCCTGAATAGATACAATTTTGTTTCAAGATTGCAATATACAAACCCTGCTTGAGGTTCCAGACTGTGGCCTTTCCCTGTGTGATTTGGACTCAAGACTGTGATATCCAGTCTTATCTGAATGCCTATCATTCTGGCTTGCCCTACAGATTTCAGACTTGCCAGCCCCCATAATCATGTGAGCAATTCTTTAAAATGAACCTCTTTCATATCTCTATCTACATCTCTATCTATCTATCTATCTATCTATCTATCTATCTATCTATCATCTATCTATCTATCAATCATCTATCACCTATCTATATCTTATATTGGTTCTGTTTGCTCTGGAGAACTCTAATACAGAAGTCATATTTACTTTTCAAAATAACTTGATAATTTAACTAAATGCACTCAGAATATGGTGGATATATGGGAAGAAGACTACAAGGAATTCGGGAGAGGGTAAGATGGAGGAAGGAAAGGACATATGTTGGTGGATAACACAGGCCTATCTCCAGCGAGACTTCACACAGATGAACTCTTCCTGTAATTACTATCCTTCATAGCTGAGTTTTTTATTTTTTATTTATTTATTTTATTTATTTTTATTTTTAATTTTTTCATAGCTGAGTTTGAAGACCCTCAGAGTTCTCTGATAGTAAGAATTAGTGGCATGTGTTTCACGACTTTGATTTATTTAACAAATTCCTTCCATTAGGGAATTTGTTCTTCCCTATTGAAAATAGCTTTCATCATTTGTCTACTTTTAACATGCAGAAGGTCCAGAGATAATCAGTGTCTTCATATATCCCTAAATGGCAAACATACTCCCACATAAAAAAACTTCTTACCTATCCGGACTATGTTCAATTTCTTGGAAGTTATATTCTTTCCTTCAAGCTTCACATATATTTCACTGTCTCCAATGAGTAAGAATTTCTTTGTCTTGATGAAATACATCTCTTGCAGTTTATTAAAAGTCAGACATTTTACATTCAAAAGAGCTCCACTGTAGAAACAAAAAGGGAATCCATCTTAATTCAAGTAGGAGTTTCTGTATATAATGGAATAGCATTACATGTACATTTCAGTTGTATGGCTTCAGCTGTGTCCATAGGTATGCGGATGGGTAGGTGCTTGAGAGAGAGGGAGAGAAAGAGAGAGAGAGAGAATTAAATAAGGTGGCTTCTTGCTACCATCATACCTAGTGATAATATATTTAGACATTAGATGCAACAGTCAAAGCATGTTCATGAAAAAGATGGAAATTCTTATTTTTAAATAATTGATCATCAAAAAACAAATACTTTGTTTAGGTGAGAAGATAATTGCTCTTTTTGATGTCCTGCAGAAATAAACTGAGGAAATAAAACCTGTAAAGAAATACTGACCCAAAAAAGTTAAAGAAAATGATACAATATCCAAAGGATTATATGCATTAAATTCCAAGGTAATTTTGACTGTACTCCATTTTTACCTCATCAATGGACTTTAAAAGCAACCCTTCTTCCCATGTTTCCTAGCTTAACATGCGACAACAATGCTCTAGAAATTGAGTTTTGTCACTTCTGTGACTTCCTCTTCCCAATTAGGATCAAGCTTTCAGGACACTGAGGAAGAGAGATTATTGCCTACTGTACGACTAACATCAAAAGCTCCCCATTGTGCTCTTCAAAATAAAAAGTATAACTTTGAGTTCCAGTAATAGCAGAACATCATACTAGCCCTCCAATATATAACTATCATGAACCTTGGACAAGCTGTTTTTGAAAATCTATTTAAAAGCTTCAGTAACCAAAAGTATGCCAAAACAAGACGGAATTTTATCCCTTGGTAAACAGGTGGTTGAGATCCTTGTTTCTGCTTTTTTTCTTTTTCTTTGTTCGATGGTATTCCTTGGGTCACACTCTGGTAGACATTTAGAATCTGATGGAGAGTCACCATTTTATTGTATTTAGAAGTTAGAGGACTGCTTGCATGAATGGATATTTTTAATGGGGAACGGCCTAGAAATGAGGAAGCTATGGGGATGGAAGACACCAGATCTGTATATAAACTATGCTCATGTCATTATGTTTCCTTTTAATTGTCAAGTGAGGAAGAGACTCTAAGGAAACCATGGGTTAGCAATAGCTAGATGGCTCTAGCAAGAACTGAGCTGAGATTTTAGGTGCTGTCTCAAAAGAAAAAAAGAATTTGAAGATGAATCCAGTCCTGTTAACCAACTAAAAGAGCTAAAACTAACACTCAGCAGAGGAAGTTAACAGAATGCAGAAAACCTATTAACAATAGTGTCTTTCCTTTTTTAAAAAAAAAATTTATTTATTTATGAGAAACACACAGAGAGAGAAAGGCAGAGACACAGGCAGAGGGAGAAGCACGCGGGGAGCCTGATGTAGGACTCAATCCCAGGACTTCAGATCACATCCTGTGCCAAAGGCAGATGCTCAACCACTGGGCCACCCAGGTGCTCCCCAATAGTGTCTTTCTTATAATCAAAAGCTACTACAATGACTAAAAAAGAAAAATGAGACCCAGAGACAAGACAAAAAGTAGTCAATGTAAACTAACCCTAAAGTAACCAGACATTGGAATTAGCAGAAAAGAACTTTAAAGCAGCTTTTGTAAATATGTTCAAGGGCTAAACAAAGAATACGGCCATAATGACTGAGTAGATGTGTAATGTTAGTGGGGAAGTGTAAACTGTAAAAGATGAAAATACTGTAACTGACAAGTAAATCTAAAATTCATAAAAATGCACCGACTGTATTGGATGGGCTTAATGGCAGATTGGAAATGGCAGAGAAAAGGGTCAATAAACTTGGAGACAGAGCCCATAGCAAGTTTTCAGTCTGAGATAACAGAAATTCTTAGTGACCTATAGGATGATGTCAAGGGGACAAATAAATATATAATTAGAGTTCCAGAACAAGAAAAGATAAAGCACCTGGATGAAAAAAATAGATACAAAATAATAGCTCCAAATTTCCCAAATGTAACAAAAAAATGTCTTTTTTAAGTTTAAGAATCTCAGCCAATCCAAGCAGGATCAATCCAAAGAAAACCATACCAAGGCACATCACAGTCAAATCACTGGAAAATAAAAGCAAATAGAAAATTTTAAAAGTATCTAGGGAAAAATATCACTTTTGATCAGAAACTATGGGGACCAGAAGACACTGGAATAATATCTTTAAAACTCTGAGAGAAAGAAAATATGTCCACTCTGAATTCTTATATGCACAAAATATTCTTCAATAATGAAGGCTAAGTGAAGATATTTCCACATAAATAAAAATTGAGATGATTTTTCTATAAACTTCTTTAGACCAGAGGGAAATGATACCAGATGGAATTGCAGATCTACAGGAAGCAACTAGGTGTACCAGAAATGGTATACTTTGGTAAATGTTAAAGACGTATATTTCCTTCCTTTAAATTCTTTAAAGATAACTGATTGCTTAAAACAAATATTACAACATTACTGTAGCACTTATAGTGTATAGTATATGTACAAATAGAAAACAGTAGTGCATAAGATAGGATGTGATAAATGGAATTATACTGTTGCAAGTTTCTTATATTTTGTATGTGAAATAGTACAATATTAACTCTAAGTAAACTATGCTAAGGTTGAATATTGTAACTGTTAGAACAATCACTGAGAAAAAGGTATTGCCCAAAAGTACAAATAAGGAAGAAGTTGAATATCTCAATAGCTCTATTTCTTTCAGAGGATTTGCATTAATTATCAACAAACTTCCCTACTAAGGAAACTCTATGCCAGATGGTTCTATGCTGGTGAATTCTATAAAATATATAAGAAATAGTGACAATTCTACACAAATTACTCTGGAAAACAGAATAGATACAGACTCTTTCCAATTTGCTTTATGAAGTTAGCTTGATCCTGGTACCAAAAGCTGGCAAAATATTACAGAAAAGACATTCACAGATAAATGTCCTCCTAGAATATATATGCAAATTTCCTCAAGAAAATATTAACACATTGATGGTAATACTATGAGAAAGTAGGACATGTCCCAGGAAATCAAGGTAGATTCAGCAATCAAAGATCAATCCTACAATTCACCATATTGCCAGAACAAAAGGCATAAATAATCTGATTGTGTTAAGTAACACAGATAGACAATGACAAAATTCAATATCCACTTATGATAAAAACTCTCAGCAGATGATTAATAGAAAAACACTACCTCAACCTGATAAAGGAAATTTACAAAGAGACTACAGTTAATATTACATTTAATAGTGAAATTGTGAACATTTTTCCCCTACAATAAGGACAAAACAGGAATATCCACTTTCACCATTTTTATTTACTGGAGATTCTAGCCAGTGCACAAGGCAAGAGGAACAAACAAACAAAAGAACACCCCGTTTGGAAACGAAATAAAAAAGCCTTTCTTTATGTACAATGTTGCATAGATTCTCCAACACAATTACAGGAACTAGCAGGGTGAATTCATCAAGGGCAGAATATAAAAGACAATTATATTTCTATAGGATAGTATCAAACAATTAGAAAATAATTTTTAAAAACAACAATTCCATTTATGATAACAACAAAAACATAAAATGCTTAGAGATAAGATTAATAAAGAATATTCAGGGCAGCCCAGGTGGCTCAGCATTTAGTGCCACTTTCGGCCCAGGGCATGCATGATCCTGGAGACCCGGGATCGAGTCCCACCTTGGGCTCCCTGCATGGAGCCTGCTTCTCCCTCTGCCTGTGTCTCTGCCTTTCTCTCTCTCTCTCTCTCTCTCTCTCTCTCTCTCTCATGAATAAATAAATAAAGTCTTTTTAAAACAAAAAGAATATTCAAGGCCTCTGCCATGGAAATTATAAAACATTCCTTAGAGTTATTAAAGGAGATCTAATAAACAAAGAGGTACATTCATGGATTAGTAAATTTAGTAGTGAGAAGATAGCAATTTCTCCCAACCTGGTGTATATAATATTAATCAAAATCTCAGCAGGAATTAAAAATAATGACAAGCTGATTCTAAAATTCATGTGGAAATACAAAGAACTCAGGATAGCCAAAACAACATTGAAAAAGTAGAACAAATATGGAAGATTCAGGGCAGCTGATTTCAAATTTACTGTAAAGCGATGACAGGCCACTTTAGCACTAGCATAAAAATAGATAAATTGATCAATAGAAAGTATAGGGTTCAGAAATAGACTCTCACATAGAAAGTTAACTGATTTTCAATATAAGTGCCTTATCAATTCAGTGGGGAAGAGAAAACTTTTTCAGCAAACTATCCTAGAACAACTGAATAAATATATGGAAAATATGAACCTTAATCTCAAGCAAAATTAATTAGATATGAATTATAGATTTAAATGTAAAGGCTCAAACTATAAAATATGTAGAAGAAAATATAGGAAAATATCTTTCTGACTTTGAGAGTGGACAAAGATAGTAATGACACATACAAAAATTAAACATAAAAGAGGAAAAAAAGACACATTGAACTTTCATCAAAATGAAAACTTCCTCCCCATTAAAATACACCATTAAGAAAATGAAATGGCAAGCTATACACTGGCAGAAAATAGCTGTAACGCATATATCTGACAAAGGAATTGTAGCCAGAACATAAAATGAATTCATACCCATCAACAATAAAAGGATAAATAACTAAATAAAAAAGACAAAAGGCTTTAACAGACACCTGCCACAAAAAGACATACAAAAAGCCAGCAAATACTCAAAAAGATGGTCAACATTATTTGTTATTTGAGAAACATAAAGAAAAACCATGAAATACTATTTCAAAGCTAAATGTCAGAGACAATGTATAGTTCCCACACTTTGTTGGTTTCAGAATAGAATGGTATAACCACTTTGGAAAACTGCTCCAAATGTTTCTTGAAAACATTTTGTTGTGTGAGAAATTTCATATAAAAAAGAGTAAACAGCCTATTATTCCACTTACAAGAACTATTCCACTTATAAGAACTACTGGAAACTGGCA